TTTTTGTACCAATCGATAGAGAAAGACTTGGCGCATCTAATGATACCAAGAACATTTAAATTGGACACCCCAACACCAAGAAATTTGAGCTCAAAGTTAGATTGCTAATGGGAAAAGGGGCGGGCACGTATCAAATGTCCGATAAATATTCTTGATACCATTGAATGCACCAAGTCTTTCTCTGTCGATTAGTGCAAAAAAAACTATTGAAATTGAACAGCGCAACACAAAGATATTTGAGCTCAAAGTTGGATTGCTAATGAGAAACCAAACCAAACCAAAACCAAACCAAAAACCAATTACTTCTTGTCGTTGTACGATTGTAAGACAAAACGCAGGGATACTATAGATTTAAAAAAACCAAAAACTCTAGCACTCAAATTATTCAGTCAAGAATTATGGAAACTAAAAAAAAAACGAAAAATTCTTAAAATTTCTTCTTAAAAACCAAAAACACGAGTCTCTGGAAAAGACTCGCTCAAACTTGTCCTTATCTTGAAAGATTAAAAATTCTAGAGATTTCAATGATAACTTAAGACCAGGATATTCTAAAATGAATTCGCTCTTTTGGGGATCGCAGACAAAAGAAAAGTGCATTGTACTTGCAACGGAATGTTCTCATTCCATTTACAAGCACTCCTTCACTCCTCAAATTTTCCCTCCATTTTCTCTGAATTTCAATTGATAGATACCGACTTGCACACTTATCTCTCCTTCTTCTTCTCTCTTTCTTCTTCTCCTTCTTCTTCTTCTCTCCTTCTCCTTCTTCTTCTCTCCTTCTCCTTCTTCTTCTCTCCTTCTCCTTTCTTCTTTTCAAGTAAAGCTTAGATGTTTTTTTGAGGGAAAAAGTCTTTCTTTTCCCAGTTTTCCCAGGTCATCTCCCCCTTTCACCCCGGTGATTAGTCCAGTTCAACGGTGCCGAAAAATATTTTTCCTTGATAGCTAGGTTGAAACTGCAACTTTTTACTCTTGAATTCTTGAGGCAAAGAATACTCAGCTATGTTTAGCTGAGTATTCTTTGCCTCAAGAATTCAAAAAATTCAAAAAAGGGGAAATTGCGGAATTTATTGTAGTACTTGAATAGTTGACGGAGTCTAGGCTCTTTGACGTTGGGCTCTTCGAAAGGACTCGAACGAACTCGACGAAAGGAGAGTTTCTTCTATCTATACCTCTAATAGACTAACATCCTCGAATCCTCCAATTATTGCATGTTTATCTAAACAGATATCAGATTTTTTAGAATCACTTTATACTGTATATTCCAGCTTCAGAGTCTTAATTTCTCTCCATTAGATTTTTCAAAAGCTGACCCTTTCCATGGAAATTTCGCGTTGTACGAATTTTCGAAAAATCCATTGCCTCGCCGCAAAACAACAAACATTGTGGCGCGGGTTTTTACAAAAAAAAAGGGGTGAAGAAGGCGATCAGGGAAATGATAAAACAACGAGTGACCGTAAAAAGAAGAAAAAGAAGGTTGGGGCTACTTTTCGAGAGATAAAAATCAGTAGCTGGAAGGGGGGGACACCTCCCAGAAATGGAAAGAATCAAGGGGATGGCTGTAAACTTGTTCCCTCGAGGAGTGAGGCGATCGGGGCGGGGGGACACAAAAAAAAGACCCCAGACAGGGGAGTTTTATAGGTGAAAGCCAGAACGGCTGACCTTTCTGGGGCGTTCGGTGAGTAGAATTTTTGGGAAACTTCTTTTCCCATTTCTGATTGACTAAGATAAACTTTTAGGGTACTTTTGCTGTGTGTCCCCGCGAAGCCGTATGAAATTTTATTTTTGAAGGTTACCCCCCAGAAATGAAAAGAATGAAGGGAACGGCTGTAAACTTGTTCCCTCGTGGAGTGAGGCGATCGGGGCGTTTTTCATTAATGTATGCTATAGTTGGGTTCAACTTAGGCAGCTATAGGGTAGAAAAAAATACTAGCAAGTTTAGTGACAGCAAAGCCAAAGAAAAAGACAAAACAAGATAGCGCTTGTCTGGCCCTGACGACCGGCAGGGCGGCGTTATGCAAATTAGCCTTCAAAAATTTTTGTTTTTTGTAGACAAACAGCAAAAGTACGACTTTTAGAACAAGAAATCTGTTTGGACTTTGAAATTTGAAATTGAAAAAAAACATTTGCGCACCTTTTTTTCCGCACCTTGCCCATTAGCGCACCTTTTTTCGCGTTTTAAAAAAGCTCTAAAATGCTAATATTAACCAATTTCTATTCCAAATGTTGTTTTTCTAGGTAATTTTGGGGCGTAGAATCGAAATTTTGACATATCGGTACTTGTGGAGTACCCGGGGGGTCTTTCAATATCCGGGGGGGTAAAATTTTATATACGTTATACACGACCCCTTTTAAAGATATTCAGCCGATTAACTGATTTGGTGGCAAATTCCCTTCAAATGTAAAGATATTCAATTTATTGAGGTGATTACTTGATTACGTGATTCGAGGTGATACTCGATCAAAAACGTAACTTCTACAAAATTTTTTTATGTCATTATTAGAAATGTTGATAATATCCTAGTTGGCGGGCCATTTTTTTTCTTCAAAACCATTTTTTGAGGTAGTTTTATGTGTTGATGGTTTTGTATGCTGATGGCAAAGTTCTATTAACAAGAAAAACATTGGCATTTGGTTGGCTTTTGAAAGTTTACCCCGGATCTTAAAATTTTACCCCCCGGATATTGAAAGACCCCCCCGGATACTCCACAAGTACCTGACATATCAGAGCTTGCGGAAACAAACGGACGGAGTTATACAAAGAGAAAAATTGACAATTTTCTGCAAAAACTACGCAACTTAGCGCTTTTCCGCAGTTTTTGCCTTTTAGCCCAAATTTGACGTGTCAGCGAGGTCTGATTTGTCAAAATTCGGAATCTACGCATACGATTCCCTCCTATGAAAACATTTTTGAAGCTCTACGACCTTTCCTAAGGCCTTTTCCAGCAAAAAAAAAAGGTGCGCAAATGTCCAGGTGCGCCCAAATCAAGAATTTTTAAAAATATTTCATTTAGCTGATATCATCTCTTTTATAGTGTGAAAAGCTGAGTTTTTATAATTTTGCAAAAATGTTTTCAATTTTCATTCAAAAAATGGTTTTCATTCACTGATTTAAAAGGTTTTTCGGAAAAAAAAACGAGAGATGATATCGACGGGATGATCAAAATACGAAAGAATATGCATGAAAAAATGATGATTTCGAATTTGAATGAATTGGATTTCTTGAAAAGAGAAAAAAAAGGGATGGTTTCGAGATGAGATGAAGCGTGAAATTTGTGCTCATCTCCTTTCACCTTTTCAATGGATAATAGAATGTGCCTTGTTCCCTCTTTTTTTTCTCTCTTTATGAACATCAAATCATTCGATCATTCAACCCAAATAACCTAGATTTAGCATTTAACAGTGAAGCGAATTTTTAATTTTTGATTGAAAAGTGAATTTAGTCGTTTAGGATTATTAGGTTGTCCCATAAAAAATTGCCGTTTTTTCATTTGATTCGTATTCAGCGACAAATTAACACTTTCTCTTTCTGTTTTTTTTTAATTATACTTCTTTACAATTCTAGTTTTATGTGCTAAATTTTCTTTTTTAGAAACCAAAAACAGAAAAAGTTGTGATCGATCAAATGGTACCGTCTCGTGAAGAAATCCATCAACACCTGTATCAACGATATTTGAAGAGGATTTCGGCGGCCAAAGCAACGAGAGAAATCAATTCTTTTTATGGATCAACAATCGTCAAGGAAAGGACTGCACGATGGTGGTTTCAGAAGTTCCGAAAAGGTGACACCCGGCTCACACGAAAGCGAGGAAGCGGTCGTCCCAGAAAAGTGAATCGACAGACGTTGAGGCGCCGATTTCGGCAAAATCGCGAAGGATCGTCTCGGATTTTGGCACAAGACTATTGCGGAAGAATGACAGTATGGCGTTGGCTAAAAAAACCGGAAGAAAGCGGTTGCAATAGCGGCAAATTCCCTATCAACTGAACAATTCGATTAAGGACCAAAGAGCGGGGTCATGGCGTCAACTACTGAACGAATATCGATGCGGTCGGCTTCCTCTTTCCAATATCGACTCATGATCAATCGTGGATAGTTTTTGAAAAACTTTTTATGTTTTTTATGCAATTTTTTATGGGACAACCTTATAGACGTCAAAGATTTTATTCGTAAAGTACTACAGCCCAATTTTGATAGAGTACTTGACTTTGCATTTAATAAATCTAGAGATAGAGTTTAAAAGATAAAAGCTCTAGACTGATAGTGAGAGCATGAAATGGTCATGGATTGGAAAGAGGGTGGTTGAAGGTGGGGAGAGCTGTGACAGGAACAAAAAAGATGAGATTGAGCCTCTTTTCCCTCAACTCCCCATTGAATGGTCGAATAGACCAAAAAATGATACAAGCCAGAGATCGGAACTGGCCTGGAGATGGGTGAAAAGACTCAACGGAAAAACGGAAAGGAGACACACAACCACCAAAGAGGGGGTGCCTTAGTAGTGAAAAGATCTAGCGCCAAGATTACAACACGCCTCATCTCTTTTTTTCTGTTGCAAAAGCTTTTGCCCCACGAGAACGGTCACTTTATAATTGCTGTATACGGGGTGTGAAAGCTGATAAAACTTTATCACAGTTATTTCCATCGTTAAACCAACTACCAAGAGAAAAAAAATTCGAGAAACACTTATACACAAAATTATTAAAATAAATAAATTATATGGCGAAGATATGATAGAAATCACAACAAAAATATCAAGTAAAGGCGGAAAATCTGGAATGATTTTTTTGAAAAGTGCCAGTATAATTATGCTATAACCTGTGCATACTCCTTCCACAGAATTAAATACAGATGATGTACACAAATAAAAGGCATTCAACAAAAGCACCTTTTAGATACAAATAGAGGTTTGAAAAAATATCTAGAAGTATGCACAAACTTAGTTGTGTAATTATTACAAAAAAATCAACAATAATTAAAATGAGAACAAGAAAATAAATACCCATTACGGAGAGGCACCTTGAGGAATCGGGACGACTTTCAGAAGCAGAAGAGTTTGGTAGGCTTTCAAAGCAGTCACAAGTGAGGTCTCAATCTAAAATCGATAATTGAAAATCTAGCAGTATGTTAAGAGATATACCTGGGAATCAATATGAGAACAAGGGATCAATTCCACAAGTGTTGGATGCAGTAAGACCAATTGTGTGTAGAGAGGAGAAAGAACCGCGTCCGATCGACTAAAAGCTTATCCAAATGAGCATTTTAAGTCAAACACACCCAGAAAGACGATCAATGAGAGTATGCACGGCCGTAAGACAAGCAGAAGTTTCGGCTATTCGGCTAGCTGGTAATCGCATTTCGCCGGCCCCACGTACATCTCGTCCAAACGATACCAAAACCTAGGAAATTAGGATTTTGATGCCTCAAAAAATGATCAATTACCTGTTTACAACGATCAACTAAATTTGTCAGCGCCGTATGAGCAAGTGGGTCTCGTTGGGATCGTGTACGCTCTTCTCTGTTCACCAAGCAATCATCTTTGCTCATCGAAAGTAGAGCATCAAAACACGAGCGGGAAAGTTCGAGTCGCTGTGTGTAAGACTCTGAAGCTGAACAGGTATTTACAAGCAAATAGATAAAGAAACGCACCCAAAACATCCGTGGGATCAAGCGAACATATCGAACCTTTGTTTAATATTTCGATAATTCTTTGCACAAAATCCACCGGCAACGTTTGGTAAAATGGTAGAATTTCGATTCTAAAACAGAAAAATAAAGTTTCCATATTGAGGATACCGTATCAAATCAATGAAGGAACAATCGACAAACTCATCTCGCTTCCTTTCATCTGGATTTAATGTGGCGCAACCACTAAAGTCCTTATTTATGGATAGATAATTAAATATCTACTTTGGCGAGAAGAGAAATCTCTCTAGAGCATCGGCTAGAGTTGGCCATAGTGTTGTGAAAGCAGATGCTAAAATAAAACGCTAAATTTGTCAATTGCTAAAATATTTACGATGTTGTCTGACAATTGGCATATTGATCCGAAGAATATTCAACAACGCAGAAGCTGACAATCGCCATGATGATGAAGAGATGCAGGCATATTTGAGTGACAAACAAGCAGACATCACCTTAAAAAAACTCGTCTGAAGTTATCATAACATCACCATACCTTCACAAAGTCAACTAAGCTAGTCGTTTCGATGACTTCTTTGTAGTGAGATGTTGCAGCAAAGCATTCAACACAAAATCTAGAAGCATTTATGTTAGTGTTACTACTATTGTAATAAAACACAAACCGTAAAGAGCATTCAGCAAACGGGATTACTTGTGAACATACCCATTCCTTCTAAAAAATTGCGATACTTTGTGTCAAATCAAACAAAATTACGTAATCTTTTTGCATGTTCGAATGTCGTGGTGGAGGATTTGCAGCAAGAGATGAAAAACGCAGTAACAATTTGAGGATCGACGGTAATGCACATCGAAGAGAAGAGTTCGCGTTGATCATTTCCTAATAAAGAATTAAGTCTAGATTACATCTTAAAATTCTTACGGCGTAAATCGTCTTCACATCTTCAAGAATGGCTTCTTGTGTCGGAGTTAACGATCCAGCTTGGTGCAAAACAAATGGAGATTGGGCGGATGAAATGGGTAGCATGGCGATCGCCTAAACATACAAGTAAATCAATTAAAAAATTTAAATAACCTCAAAAATTGATGGTAACTTTTCATAAACCAGTTCATCGACACTTATATCTCGACGAACTCTGTCGAATAGTGGAGGGAATATGTGAAGAAACGTTGTAAGATGCGAAGGTCCCGGTACATATCTAAACAAAGATACGTTTAAATATATGACGAATTGATTTACTTAGTTTCCTTTGAAGAATCGGGTAGTGGTTGAGGTGACGTCAACGAGTTGGCAATTCGGATCCACGACTAAAACAGGAACATTTTTCAAATACATAGCACGCACCAGGACTGTAAAGTGTAAGGTCATCGAACCCGGTCACGAGTAGGTACTCTAGGGGTCCCAAATCAAAATTTTTTGAAATGAGTCATATCTTAATAGAAATAGGAGAAAAAAAAAATGCTATTTGATACGGTGCCTCTGAATTTTCGGTCCTCAAGTGCTTTCTGAGAGAGGAGTGATTTTATAAATTTTAGTCAACTGCTCTGTAATTGTTCATAAAAATTGGGTAGGTACCCTAGAGCTCTGAAATCGAAATTTTGTAAAATGTATTCCAGTTCATACGAAAGAGGAGAAAAAGTTCTATTTAATGCGGTACCTCCGGAGTTTTAAACTTTTGAAAAATACTGAAATAGGGGACACTCAATTATCGACGACCTTACAGTTTATAGGCCTGGCACATGTTAAGCCCAGAAAGAAAACACCCGATAAACTCAAACTGAAGAGAAACTTATATGTCGAAAGAAAAATAAAATTTATAATTAGAAACCCAGTAGCTCTAGAAGCAATAGGTCAAAATGTGAAACCTCAAAACTTTTTCCACAGCCAATCCACTTCTAATAAGTTGTTTGTATTTAAACAAAGACAATAAAAAGCACAAACCTTCCATGAAACAACCCATAGTTTTTGCGGTAGTGGAGGAACCTCACCGCCAACAACCAGCTCTTTCAAGCTTCTAAAACTTTTATACATTTTTACCAAAACGAATTGCATACGATGAACTCTTTTCCCGCGTGTTCATGTCGAGCGTTTGCACGGAGATCTTGCCGAGAAGAACCTAAATTTGAATGTGAGTGTAAAATTAACATCAAATGACGCGATATTTGCATTTAGTCGTTATATTAAATCAAATTCATCATTGTTCAGATTCATTTTTTTATTCGTCTCCGCCTGAAGCGTCAAATATTGGATTTGGAATTTGGCCAAGCTCAACCTCAACTCCAGCAATTTGAAGATGTTCGATGGATGCAAGTGTTTTTATCATGCGTTTCTGTTTCTCAAGTCCTAGATATATTACTTTAAATTTGAGTCTTTAAAAAAGCCAAGAAGAGACCGCCAAACAAAGATGGTAAAACGGGCAAGAAAGCTAAATCAGAGTACAAGTTGCCTCCTGAAAAGAAAAGGAACTCTGTTGTTTCGCCAATTTTTGTTTTGATGCTAATTATTTGTTTAGAAAAGAATCGAGCTGAAATCCATGCCATTAAAGAACGTTACATGTGTTTTCTAATAAAATATGTTTTGTGAGTGATAAAAGGTAATGAATTACCTCTTGAAAACATTTCAACGCAGCTAGTGATAGTTCGGCATTTGGTGTGGCAGCAGCCCATTCGAGGAACGAGAGAAGGCTTTCCCAGCAATTCCCAAAATCGTCTAAAATGGCTGATATTGAGAGTTTATATAGCGAAACTCACTAAGTTGCAAAAGTGTATTTCTTTGCGTGGTAAAAACTCGGCAAACTGCATGTAAAGTGGCAATCGTTGTCTCGGTCCATTGTTTTGATTCGGTGTCTCTTGAGTGATGCAACAACATTTTCTCAGCACCATCGATCTTTTCCGTAGAAGCACTTCTCCATTGAGCTCGTACTAAAATTCTAACGTTAATATTCATTGACATAAACGACCAAACACAAGAACAAGAAACAATAAAAAATTACCTTTATCCATGAGTGGTAAGATTATCTAAAATAAAAAAGTTCATAACTTGCTAGTAATAAGATGAGTACCTGCCAAATCATATGACCCCAAGTATTTGGTCTCAAAGCATGTCCGTGAGCAGCAATTGTTTGTAAAAGAGTGGATACTCCACTTTTTCTCACAGCTGATCTTGCATCAACGCAAAGTTCGGATAAACAAACGTAGACAACTAGCCACACCTAAACTAACACTTGAAAAGGAAAGATTTCGAAAACAATACTTTTTCAGCTGCATCCGCTCCCATTATATCACTTCGACGAAATACGAAATCAGAAATAGTCCACTAAAGATCGCGCGTTGAAACACTGTTTCTACGAAAAAATACCAATTGAGAGATCGCAGAAAGGGCTTTGTTTTGCTCAGCCGTCTGAACTCCGTAGCGTTTAACAGCTTCAACCAATTGCTCCATACAATCCCAAGGTAACTGTTGCAGGAAATCTGATGTGACAAGATGAAGTGCGTCAAAACCATCTTTGATCAATTGTTCTCCAAATCTAAACCCGATTTCTTCAATGATTTTCAAATATTTTTTTATACTTGAACTGAGGATCAACAATATCGGCAATAATCGAAATTATTTCTTTCCACATACTGGAATTCAATTGAGAGCCTAAAACATTACTTGATAAATAAAAACATGATAAAAAAACCATGGTTGTGAAGAACAGTGACCAAACATTCGATCTGTTTTGAGCGAACGTCTGCATATGGATTTATTGAAAGAGAGACGAGTGAACCCAATACCAAACGTTCTTTATCCTAAAATTTCAAATTTATTAAGTCGAACATAAAAATTCCTCACTTTTTGTTGTAGATCTGACTTCGATTGCAACGCGACACGAATCAAATTTGTTAGCCCAATTACGGCCCATTCTCGTACATTGTTATTGTTGTGATTGCAAACCTATATAGTATGTAAAAGCCATATTTACGATTTAAATACCTCAATTATATGGTGTGTGAGTGGTTGCCAATACGTGCTCATCCGGTACAGATTTACAGCTCCAGTTTGTAGCAACTTTGCCAACGGAAACAATGCAGCTTCACGAGCGCCTAAAAGTTTATTTGAACAAAATATGCAAAAACTTTGCATACCATGTGGTAAAGCGAGCGAGTCCAGAGATTGTTTTGCGAGAGCCGAAATCAAATGATGTAAAGCGACTTCATCACCGTTCTTGACCTCGTCGAAGACCTTGTCCACCATTGAAGCCTATATTAAAATATACATTAACAGTTTTATTTTGGATTCATACCACAATCGGAATGTCGGAACGGGCTGCAGTCGTCACGGTACTCGTTGAAGGTCCTCCCGCTAAAAACAAAAGTATAAAACGCCGAAAATAGGTAAATACAAAGGAATTAAAGGGAAAGTGTGGAAAAAATCTCTCAAATCACGCTAACACGACACTTAATTACCTAATTACTATTTTACATCACGAATATTCCATTAAAAATAACGTCAAGGTTGCACTTTTTAAGAAAAACTTGACTTCATGCGCGATTGCAAGTTGGGACTTTTGGAAAACTCGAAGATTTGTCAGTTACCAAAAAAATTTTTTTTGAGTCATATAGGAGTCATTTACTTAAAATAATGGCGATCCAGTTTAGATTTGTATTGAAGCAAGCGTTTTGCTAATTAAATTCAGCTGAATATTTGTTCCCCATTACCTTATCCCAGTTGTGACTTTATTCGTTCAAAACGTGTCACTTTTCATCATGATGTATTCGCGGCAGGTCTGATTTAAACTCACTTGTCAATTCTTGATCACTCGAAGACTTAACGTAAAGGCCATTGACATATGGACGCATAGCTAGAAGCCATAGTGTGTGTTGTAGTGTCACTAGTAGCAAAGACCACGCTGTTCCGATCTGAATTGTACCTCTCCGTTTTCTGGTTTCTTTGCCGGATTGCACTTACGTCACCAGCTACAGCCGATGCGCAGCCGAGAAGCAGTCGGAGGCATTGCATGTTCTTGGAAGTAACCTAAATATCCTTTCGCTTACACAGATTTTACAGCAATACTTACCATCACTTGCACGTTGGGCGAAGGCAAATGCAGTGAAGGGCATGGAACCCCTGTTGCCACAACTTGTTGCACCCCGTAATCAGAGTCGTCATTTTTGTCATCAGAAGCTATAAAATATAATTATTGTTGCCAAAATCTCGGGAGAGCTTATATGAAACTTACAAAAAAGCAATAATGCGGCAAAAGTGGTGTTTAGTGATGCAGGGGAGGGAATTCCCAGAAACTTCTGCAAGTAATTCTTTCCGGGAAGTGCCGAACAACAAAACGCATACAAACAAGCCTCACGAGCCTGAAAACATTGTTTTTCTTTTGTGTTGCTTTTAAAACCAACCGTTGCATCCTTCAATTTGCAAGCGATCATTGAAAGAGTCGATAGACAATTCAACATTGAGTCGGATGTAGACTCGTCATTGCTGAAACTGCTCATGCATAAAAGTAATATGGTTTTTCGGTATTTTTCTGGGTAAACTTTGTTTTGTGTTCTCACTCCAAAAACTCATTTCATTTAACTTTTCTCCGTCCGAATCCACAAAATCTCATTTGTACACTTTTCAGAAAAAGAATGGCTTTATTGATAGCATACCAATCAGTTTACTAAAACTGCTAACAATAATGACCAGAATGAAATTTTTGTCTAAAAGTCTACTTTTATACCTACAGAATACAGTAACCCTAAATACGACGTGACCAAGCTATTCAGTTTAGAACAGAAATAGAAATAAAAAACACAAAGTCTACAAAATCCTATCTTGCGATCTATTGACTCACCTGGCTTCCAGGAGCAAGCCCACTGAGGAAAGTAAACTCGAATAGCATGAAGTGAACAGCGCTTTCTCGGATCCATCTTTTGGTTTCACCACTTCTGAAAATAGTTCAAATTCAAATGTAAACTAATCGGATAAACCTTCGCTATGATGCCCATTAGCTGTTGAGGAAGAACCATTTTGATCACTTATCCCCTCCTGCTGAATGAGATCAATAGCTGCAAACAAAGTTTGTGTGGAGTCAGCGAGTAATGCGGTTGCCCGTGAAAGACAGTAACCATCAGCAACCGGCGGTGCTTCGTGCTTATCCAAACTTTCCAAGCTTAAATAGGGTTTTAGAGAAGAAATTAAAGTAATCACTTACAAGTAACCCCTTTTTGAAGTTATCTCCACCAACGGAATCAAGCCCGATCCACCAATTCTGAACCCAAATCCAGCAGCTCCAGTTGCACCCGGTTCCTCTTTTAACGCATCACCGTTATCTAAATCGCATTTTTGAAAGAGTTCACTTTCTGCAGTATTACTTGAGCTATAATGATTTCTAGTGAAAGCTGAAGCAACGTATGAGGCCACTCCCTTGAAGGCATTCTCACAAACTTTCACAGTCGAGCCCTTCATATCAAAATGCCGAACCAGCCATCTAAAATAACATGTTCAAGTGATCACAGAATATAATTATATATATTTTTAAAATCTAAAAAAACAGAATATAAAACAAACTTACATCAAAAAGTTGCTTTGTGAGAGAAGACGATGCAATGCTTCCAACGACAATGCTCGTTGCCATCCCATCTTGTCGGACTCCAAGAATTTCAAGAGCAATGAGACAAAAATCTCACATTCCGTAGCCTTAATAAATTTGTTTGGTATTACAGTATTTGTATTAGGTATTTATTTGAGAATTCGATCAACTTCTCACCAAGAGTTCATGATAGAGACCGATCAGATAAACCAATATCCGTATTAACCGCATCGCAACGGGAAATGAAGGTCGAAGAGGCGAATTTGAAACGGTTGTATTGGCTGAAGACCCTTGGTAGGAAGCCTGAAATCACGTTTCTTTGAAATACTTTTGCATTTCAAGCACCTGAAAACTTTTCACGTTAGGCGAGAATAGTTTGATCACAAGCGGGCAGACATCTTCTTTCAAGAGTGCAGCGAATTCGGTGTGCTGAAATTTTCATTACTGAAATTCGTTCATCAAGAATCGTTAAATTACCTTAAAAAAAACCGATGGATATTGACCGATCAACGACTCGATTAGTTCCAATCCAAGTGGTCGACTGATTGCATCGATACCCGTAAGCCAAAGTGGTTGCTCCATGTTCACAAGTAAACAAAGATCCTGGAATTTGATGTAAAAAGTTAAGTCAATCACTTCGTACTCTGAATAGCATGTAGGCATCAGCGGCACACGGCCGGAGGGTTGGCGGTGGAGCTTTCGTGTTTCTCGGGATACTTGGTGGTGCTATCGCCAGTTCTCCAGAGCGCATCCCATCTTCCTTAAAATAAGCACTTTTTTGTGTTTCTTGGGCAATGTGCTTAAAAACCCACTTGTTGAACCCGCAAGAACACACTGCCGACAAGATTGCGGACAGTTGCCGAAGCCGTATTGATCACAATGGGATCTTTTGAGAAATTCAATCGAAAACAGATCACGAGACACTCAAATTTTATTAAATCAAGCGCTTTTTATAGGTTTGTCATACTCTGGCCAGATTCGGTCCGGTAACTAAAAGATCCGTGCAAACGAAAGGAGTCAATGTTTGCAGTAATCGCAGCTCTTCACATCCATTTTCAAGGAGACTCCATAGTTCGGATACGACAGCTGCTGCAGATGACTAAATCTCTCTGGAATGCATGAATCGTTTTTCCATTCTCACCGTTTCAAGGACTCTATACTCGACCAGTTTCTGTATAGCTTGAAGTGAAATTTGAACCAAGCGAACATTTTTCGTCGAACATCCCGTAAGCTGAAATTGATTAGTTTTTCTTTCTAGATAAAAATTTCATTACTAAAGGATTCAACAATTCGGAGCTTGCGGCTCGAAGATTTTGAAGAAGAGTGCTTTCTGTAGAGTTGGATGAGATGTTCCGAACTTTGACGAGCGCCGATTCCGCAGCCTAAAATTTCCACTCCATTGAATTAAGACGTTGATATAACCTCTTTGACAGAGTTATATTTCTTCTTTGCTTCTGTAGATAAAGTGCGGAGATCATTTAGCAGTAAATCCACAACGCGTTTTCCGTCAACGCCTACTACCCCACCTGAAACCTCAATTACCTTTTATCAAAGCAAGATTTAGACCTGTAGGCTCCAATGCCATGCCCTGAAACGAAAATAGCTCGACGATTTGTGTTGTCGTCTTCCGCAAGGTAATTCGTCTCTGAAAATTGTTATAAAGTATCGAAAAATGTAATCGTATCGGTCAAATTTCTTTTAAGAAATTTATAGATCTAAAACTTTTATTAATGCTCTTTTTTGGCTCTTTTCTTTAATGGAAGGAAATGTTATTTTATTAGTTGAGAAGTTTTCTGCTATTTGACAGATTTACACGTCTGATCTATTCGTCATACATTCATAGATATACTGGGTATCAACATTGGTTCAGCAAATAAATTTCAATTATTTTTATTACCAGTCCACTAGCATAACACAAATATTATAAGCAAAAAGAAAATGATGAGATCCAAAATAATTAAAAGTAACGACTTTGGGAGTAGCTTCTTTGAACGTGCAACTTGTCCATGAAATCACCCGAATTAAGTCGGACCAAAAGTAACTCACATCGAAAAATCACTAATAAAATTAAAACAAGGACTAGAAATCGTAAAATGCTTAATTAGCACAAGACCGTGATATAATGATAATAAGAATAAAAATATAATAACAATCGGCATAATGTACAGATAGTCCTGCAATCGTTTCGAGATGCTATCTAAAGTTTAAAACTATTATAGTTATTAATCAATACGAAGTTAGATAATTTATCTAAAATGAGCACAAAACTATCATAACTCACATTTGTTCACTAGGTTGAGCGGCTTGTAAAGAAGTTGGCCGAGATGCTAGCAAACTAACGAGATTTTCTGGTACCTAAATTTCAGGAGATTGTTTTGATCTGTACCCAGGCCTCTAATACAAATTGTAGATAAATTTCTAAAAATTTACCCATGTGTAAATGTATGCAGCAATTGATGAAAAAACGCCCCAAATTTGCCACCAGGCCTGAAAAAGGTAATTTTTTACAAAAGTAAAGCGCACTTACATTTGTGATAAATTCAACAGTAGTTGCCGGTGCGTTATGTACGAGTAGAGCAATTGCACACGCAGCCAGACATAACAGAGTTTGAGCGAGCCCCCACAGAGGATTTTCTTTCCGAGGAAACACTGATACCTCATGCCAATCTAAAAAGAAAATAAAATTTCATTGCACATCTCACCCACCGGGAAGAAGCTCTCTGTCTGCACTTTCTAGCTGCTGTTGCTGTGAGTACCAGCCTAGAAAGTTTGTTTACTAAACATCAAAAAAAGATTAGAATGTGACAAACCTGAAAACATACGATCCATCGAACGATTATTCCCATTGAATACTAAACATCAAAAAGTCATGAGAAAAGAATACAAAAGTAAACCTCCTTTCCACGTGCATTCCAAAAGATGCAAAGCTCCATCAATGCGCTTCCAGTGGTGAATATGGAAGAATGCATATGCGAGTGCCTCGGAATCACCACGCTAAATAGTACAAAATAAATTAAACGAAAAAATAAATATTATAACCCTCAAATAGTGTTCAGGTGGAAGAATGAGTGGTCGCATTTCTAGCAAATAACGAGGCACATGTGGATTGAACTCTATTGCTCTTCGAATCGCGTCAACTGCATTTTGTTCTGCCGCGGATAATCCTCTTCGCAACTCAACGCCATATCTAAAGATCACATATTGACTAGACAAAAATAAATTTTAAAAATACTAATCGACTCAAGAAAAATTTTTTGCCAGTGGCATTGCCAGAATGTGGATATTTTAGAGAGTAAAACTTTTACTGACAATACTACTGGCCTTTTGCTACTATTTCGCTGAATTCCCATAACAAGTTAAATAAGCTTAATACAGAATATTCAACTCACTTATCAGCGACGTTCCTTGTTTTTAACAATGCTGATGTATAACATAAAACGGCTGACTTGGGCTCTCGAATATCTGAATTTCTGATTAATAGCGGAGGAATAAAAAATATACCATATCCATCGTATCTGACGAGTAGGGCTTGCACATCTGCGTAAGCCTGCATTTCAAGAAACGCCTCGATCAGGTTTTCTTGAAGACCGAGTACGGCAAACAAAGGAAATTTCACGATTTCACGCATCATTTTGATAGCCTCGCGTAATCGACCTTGCTTTCTTGCGCACATCGCTAATCGCCTTCTAATGTAAGCACAGATGATTCCATCTCGTCCTACAAAATTACAATAAACATGATAATTTACTTGATAATTTACTGTGGACTGGGTCTCCATATTGATACGCCGTCTGCGAACGAAAATACGCTGCTTCTGCCGCAACAAGAGCTTTTCTGAATTACAAAAATAAGAATTGAAAAATTTTGTCTTACTTCAGCATTGTTTCTGCATCTGCAACTGTTTCACATTCTTCTTCGGCTAGAAGTATCATCGCAGGCGCACAATCGACGTTTATGCTACAAAGCAAAATATTTTCAAAACATCAGCTCTTTTTCTTACCTCAAAGCCTCGTGTGCTGCGTTGATCCGTGAAAAACTATCGCGTTCCCGCCAGGCCACTTGCATTACTAAATTCAAAGTTATATTTTTGAGCTAAATTGTCAATTGTTACTTTCATAATCGGGTCTCCCAATATCTTCATCACATGTAAATAAACTCTGGTGGTCTTGAGCTGATAAATTCCTGTAAAATATTTATTAGAAACATAAATTGAAAAAATTAAACTTACAAATCGTAATATGTGAGCGGCTCCAGCCCGAGTTCCTTTTTTACTCGATTGTATTCTGCTCCTCGAAATAATCCAAGTGGATTACGCCAAACTTTGCATTCTAAAAATTTTGCGATACTCGCATAGGTATACCAAAAGGCAACCTGGTACTGATCTGCTCGATTCAATGGCATCCTCATTATCACTTCCTTCATCGCTTGATGCATCAACGCCATTACTTAAACAAATTTGTAAGAAAAAACATTAAAAAAATAAAAACTTACTTTCTAAAGTACCACCATTCGAAAATCAAAATTATCCCAGAGACCAAACTTGAAGTCCCCGTCAAGGCCACATAGAATTTTGGGGTCAAGTTGTTAAAATAAGTAGAGGCTAAAGAAAAAACGACTACAATAAGCGAACAAAATTTTACCGTTCTCGAAGGACTCCGTGATTTTCAGCGGTCCACGCAAAACGTAGACGAGAAGCACAATGAGTATAAACCAAAAAAGCCACAGATACGTCCAACTGTAGGTCAGTACACTTCTTATGCGTTGAAAAAACATCTAAAGTTTTCGATTTCAGACATTCAATTCACCAAGACAACGAGCAAATCATTTAATTGAGGGGTGCAAAGAAAAGGGGGGAAGACGACCAGAAGAACCGTGTCGTAGTTTGCTTCAGGTTATTCGACAACACGTTGTGTGGTGTAGTTGGGAATGGTGAGGCAATGAAATCGTTGCGAGAATACGAGTGTCTTTGAGTGATTTGTTTAGAGAGATTTTTGAAAGGGGCAATAACAGCATCGAAAGCAAACGAGAAAAGAGATAAACTCTGTCCTGTGTTTTCCCCAAAAAACAAAAACAAAAAAATCCATTGCTAAATTTTTGGGGAAAACAAAAACGACGTGGCGATTTCTCTCATTTGGGTCACATTTTTGGGTGAAAGGATTCTTGCTGACGCTCTGTTGAATTAGTAATCAATTTTAAATTCAAATTTGTAAACTTTATGGTATAATGCTTGTCAACGGAATCTCTTAATTCTCATTAACTCTCGAGAATACCTTACATTTCCTGTGTCATTATATTCATTGTCATTACAATTTCTTCCGAGATTACACACATTTTTGATGATTGTGTTTGTGCCTGCAATATTGTAGAGTTACCGTAAATACTCTAATTAAAGCCCCCTAAAGGAGCGTTGCGTAGTCTACGTTTGCACTCAAAGAATTGCTCATATCTCGGCGCCTAGACATTTATTTCTGTGCGCTTAGGTATCAAATTAAAGTAGAGAGGATGCGTTTTCGTGCGCACGAACGGACATCCCTCAATTATATATAGTAGATATCTTAAAAAAATTACCCATCCTCTCTACTTTGATTTGATACCGAAGCATGCAGAAATAAATGTCTGGGCGCCGAGATATGAGCGGTTCTTTGAGTGTAAACTTAGACTACGCCACACTCCTAGAGGGGGGCTTTTATCAAAATATTTACGGTATTCGATCAAATAATTTCTTGCAGTGAGTCTTTTCTTTGAAAGCAACGAAATTTTACTAAAGCAATTTCCGCTTTTGAGTCTAGCATTTACCTATTTGTTCTTTTTTTCCTTTTAACCTATAAAAACATTTGGTACTTTGGTGGTTGGGAGGGGCAACTTTTATCCTGGCTTAGTTGAATATAATGTTTTGGGTGGTTGTATTGATACCTTTTATCTACCTATTCTAGTGTAATCAAATATGTTTATACTTTTAGAGCATTTACAACATGTTTCAAGTTTCATATTGCCGCCTTTATTTGATTTTCAAGTGTAAGCAGCTTTGAGGTAGCGTTTGGTGGTACTTTAGTACATGGCTAGAAGTTATTAGGTACTGGCTAGTTATTAGGCTGGAATTGCAAAAACTAGCCTACTAAAATAGTCACCAATATATTAAGCACATTTGATTACTCTAGACCAGATAAAAGTTATCAATATAACTACTCAAACATTATATTCAACTAAGCCAGGATAAAAGTTGCCCCTCCCAACCAAAGTATCAAGCATTTATTTCTAGAAATGGAGATCAACTGTGGGATGGGCGAATATCTCGGCGACCGGACGCTAGCAATACCCGTCGTCCTCAAGTTGATGTACTCGGACTTCGTGGTCAACGAGATTTTGGAGGACAAGACTGCTACACGAATTTTGAAAAAGGAGGAGGTAATGGTTTAATTTTCCAACTTTGTAAAAATCTTTTTTAGATTCAAGAGCAAGGTATAAGGCCGAAAGATGAGGTTGTTTCGGTTCCATTTCCCGATCACATTAGCGAAGCAATCAGAAATCTGCTGACTATGGTTTTTGAAAAGAAGATTGAATATTGCGATATTCCGATAAAAGTGAGTTTAGCTTTCTAGCTTTAGCACTACTTGGTCTTTTAGGATTTGGAAAAGAATCAGAGAAAAGTGATACACGAATTTGTACGTAATAGATATCGTGGACAGGTTGAGCTTAAATTATTTGGGTCATTTTGCCATCTCTTTAGCTCTCTTCAGAAACTCGTCCGGACACTATTCGAGTCTCACGCGGTCAAGCAACTTTGTGAGCTTTGTGTGTATCATCTATTCATCAAGAAAGTTTTAGCGCATCATATCGGAGAGACGTTCCGAAATACTGTCACTTCACGCTGGTCAAAGAGAATAAGGATTCCGGATATGCACTAAACATCATTGCAAAGTTTTTGGGGTAAGTTGTTGTGTTGTTGCTTTTTAAAAAGTTGCTTTTAGTATTAAAGACAACGGTCTTTTCAAGATGTGCGGAATAAAAGATCGCAGAGCTGTGACAACTCAGCGAATAAGTGTGACCAGAGTATCAAAGGAAAGGCTCATGGTTGGTTGGTTTAAATGATTTAATAGTTTTTGGGAGAGCTTTTTTTAATTTGCCGTCGGTTTTAGGATCTGAATCGAACGCTGCGTGGTATGAGCATCTACGATTGTGAATACAGCGATACACCTCTTAAACTTGGAGCTCACTGGGGAAATCGTTTCGATATAATTCTCAGGTAACATTTTTTTGTTTAAGCATAAAGATCGCTGATATTTTAGATCTGTAAAACCAGAGTTTCGTGGAGAACTTGAAAAACGCGGAAACGAGATGGGCACTCGTGGATTTATCAATTATTTCGGCACACAACGATTTGGCACGTTCAGTGGTTCGACAGCTAGCGTAACACTGATTTGGAAATATTTAATCAATTTTATCTCAGATTGGAAGAGAAATTTTGAGAAGACAATGGGAAGCAGCGGTTCAAATTATTTTGGAAGATAAGGATGCAAAAGGTTATTAGTTCTTGTTTTTACACGATATTTGTTTTATCTTTAAATAACTATTGTTTTTTGTAGGAACTGTCGCAGAAGCCACGCGCGAATGGAACAAAACAAAAGATGCAAAACAGGCTTTGTCATTGCTCAAAGGCGCTAACAAATTCGCATCAATCGAAGGGCAAGTTTTGAACGCACTGGTCAGAGGTAGCGTTTCAGCAAAGCTCGTTTTGGGTTGAAAGTTTCGTTTTAGGCTCTACATGGCAACAGGCTATCCTTGCTTTGCCAACGAATACTTGCTCACTTTATGTGCACGCCTATCAAAGTTTGCTCTGGAACAAAGTAACATTTTGCAAAGAAATTTCGTATGTCTATGTGTTATTGTAGGCTGTAACTCGCCGAGTGGGAGAACATGGCGAAAAAGTGATTGACGGCGATGTCGATGGAAACGGTTCTCCTATAAAGGTTTGGGCTCTTCAGTAGAATCCTAGACTTTTGGAAGAATTATGGACTTTTGGCTTTTATTTTGTATTTTTATTAGTTCCGTTTCTAGTTTGAGAATTTTGTAAACACATGCATTCAAATTCCACGAAATCATTTCATTTCTTCTTGGGTACGCCTGCGGACATAACTTCAACTAACAAGACAATTCAATAAAGCAATGCCAAAGGTGTTCTTTGGAACTCTAAATCTATAACTTTGATTCTTTAAGATTGTATACCTAACTGTCGGAAAAACGACATTTTTTTAGCCTGTGTTTAAGCCCTGCTATACCTAGTAACTAAACAGTCATCGTTTGTTTTGCTGATAGCGCGCTGCTTAAAAACAGACTTAGCCCATTTTCACCGTTCTTCAAATATTTGAAAGTTTTTCTATGCCGTTGTTGATAAATTGTTGCTGGTGAATCAAAAATTACAAAATAAAAGCCAAAAGTCCAGAATTCTACTCAAGAGCCAAGGTTTGATCTAAAAGCATAAATTTATATCTTAGCTTTAGGAAACTGATTCACACTTCAATGTTCATATACCTCTTCCGGGAACTACAACGCCTTCACCACATTATGGTTGAGTTGCTTTCATCGGAAACTAAAGTATATTTGTTTTAGTTGAAAGTTGGTATAACGATATATTGTTAGGCGATGGACTAGAAGCTGGATGCTTTAAATCACTTCAAGAGTAGGTGTTTTAGCTATTCATTGAGGTAAACTTTGTGTTCTAGCCGCTTTTCCATTGGGGATAGCGTCTATAGACCAATATTCTTGTTGCCGGAAAATGTTACAGTGGATTTTATCAACTATGAGGTAAGGCGATTAGGCATTTGCTAAATCTATTTTTTTTGTGTATCCAGAATGAAAAGGAGATCCTTATGCCTGAACTGAAAACAAGCACCGTAAAAGAAGTCGAAAATGGAGACCGACTTGCCATGAGAATAGCTTTCAATTTGCCCAGCGGATCGTACGCAACTGTTGCACTGCGCCAACTCACCGGCTTTGATATGAGCAAGCAAAGTATGAAGGTAAGCCAAGTTTTTTTTTTGTTTTACCTCTTCTTTTCAAGGAGCTCAGTGAAAATAATCCAGAAGAGGAAGATGTTAACAATGAGGATGGAGATGGTCAAGCAGATGAATGTGAGAAAGAAGTGAATGTTCCTGAACCCGATGATTCTGATGAACCTTTGACTAAAAAGTTATGTTTTTTGGTTAATAAACTAATCACAGTTATTTTAGGCCAAAATCCGTGCCTGAGGAATGCCAAGAAGGAAATGGAGTCTAGGTGTCGAAGTTAGGTTATTTTTTATTGTTGAGTTGTTAACGGGTAATTCCGCTTTGTTGAGAATGACTTTTGTTGTGTTATGTTGTTAGATAAATTTTTTTTAACCTTTTTGCAAAATAAATCGTTTTAATATATGATTTCTGTCACTTGTAGTTCATTCTTGGGAATATCTAAAATTTTGTCGAAAACAAAATCAATACGGAATGTAGAATATGAAATTGCACTTGCTTGACGCCAAATCTGGAGCGACAAAGGATATCCAGCTTTCGCAGGATGCCGTGTTCTCCGATCTACAGAAAGCCGTATCCGAGAATTTTCAGATTTCGTATGTTGATGTTGATTTTATTATAACCAATCAAGTGGTTTAGAACATTTGTGCTTGTTTTCGGTGGAACGTATTTAAATCACCAAGGTTCAACGACTTTGGAGCAAATGGGAATTGTGTCGGGAGATAAGCTGCATATATATCCGTATGTTGATTTTGATGTATTGAGCTGTTTTTTTTTCAGAGGTGCAGTGGAAGAAAGCAGAGCAACACATGCCTCATTGGCTCTTCCTCCTGAGCCACGTCCAACAAGGGAATGTTCGTCCGCGGGTAAATTTTTAAAAATCTTGAATAGAATTAATAATAATAAAATCTTTAATATTTTTGCAATCCTTCCGTATTTAGAATTACCTCCAGATGCGCCAACACTTCCGCTCTTACCAGAACAAGCTCACCGGGAGCCACCACCGTATGTGACTTATTCTTTGTCCAACTTTGTACTAATTTTAGACCTACCGGTGTACATCCTGATACAGAATTCTACAGGCTCGGTGATGACCCAAATGATCCATTAGCAACGAGACATGGCCATAGAGGTATTATAATGTTTTTAAACAAATTATTGATGTCCATTTTCAGCCCCGAATTTCCCAGCTCCAAATCCACTGAATCCTTTTGGACATGGTCCGCTTGGACCGCTGGGGCAACCAGGAGGCCCACTTGGTCCAGCATCGCATGGGTAAAGTCGTGATTTGTTATCCTTACTTTAGCTCTTTTTAGTTTCGATCCGTTTGATCCGCGCTCGTCTGAAATAATGCCCGGCCGTCCACAGTATGACCCAACTCAAGTGAGCTACATGTTTGTCTTTTTTATTATGGTTAATTTAAGCCTCGCATTTTGCCCTTCAATCCTACCGACGAAGGACCAAGCCGAACTGATCGTACTGGAAGCTTTGGACGTCGTCATGGTGGAAACGACTATATTTGAACAAACATAACATGATTTGTAAATATTTCCATTGATTATTTTTGGTGTTGTGGAAAATATCGTTTTGGGTACTATAAATAAAGGTGTTCACTTCAAAATCTCTAATTACAAAATTACAAAAACGATTTGGAATCAAGTATAAATTTTATTAGACCCGTGAAATCTAAAATCTGTTACAAAATTCGATGAAGCATTTAGCTGACTATGCATCTGCTCTGTTTCCTTCGTTTAGCCTTTTTCACATCATTGGGCAAGGTTTTGTGACTCTAAATTTGGTATTCATCGAGCAAGAAATGAGTTTAACTAACCACAGCCAGGGAGGCAGCAGCCATCATATGCTGCATATAATAAACATCATCGTCATCTGATGAATCTGATGAGGTACTAGAATTGAGGGTTTTTTTTTGGTAGAGATTCTTTTCAACTTACGAATAAAATGGCCGATCGTAGAGGGGCTCCGAATCGGTTCTTCTCAATTGATTTGGCGTTGATGAGTAGAGATTCTTGGGTCTCCCCGATCTGTGCTTTCGATCAGAGCTTTTCTTTTGAAGAGGAAGAGGAAGAGCAAGTACTGTAAAACAATTAAAGTTGTCGTTTTTTTTGAATCTCTGATTTTACCCGTCTCATAGATTCCTTCACTGGGTGGCGGCGGGGGAGCAGTGCGGGGTGGAATTGGGTGATGAGGGGGATCAACTGGATGATTTCTTCCATTCAATTGCCCATCTCTATCATCTCTTCCCTGCACACTGCCACGTCTTCGTCCAAGATGACCAAAATGTTTCCTCTCATCGATTTCGGTCATCATCTTTCGAGAGCTGGAATTTGGATTTTGGATTTTGAAAACAGATTTTGTTATTTTTCCTTACGTTGATGGCGTTTGAAGATGATTAAATGAGCATTGTGGTTTACATTGAGGATTCCCTCGAATAACCTCGAATGTCATTCCCAACAACGATCGTTGACATAAATGACAAGAGAAACACTCGGATGTTGTGTGCCATCTTTGATCACCCTTCAAAGACTTTTTGTTACTTTGCGAAAATTCATTTCATCCCTTTCCCACCTGGGCAATGTGTGGCTGATTTGGGTGAATGATCTGATGACAACCGGCACATTCACCGGGAAATTGCGGTGAACGCGAGAAAGACGGATCACCGCTGATTGCGGGATATTGCTGGGCTTTTGGATGAACGATACCCGCGTCACAGCCAAGACACATGAAACGGCCACTCCGACTCACGTAGCGACTTCCGCCTGAAAGGGAAAACGATTCAAATCTTGTAGTCGGTTAGCATGATTGTCGATGAAATTCTCCTACCCAATGGTCGCTGACATTGAGCACACGTGAAGTGATGATGATGCCAGTGCCTTTCCTCAGCCTCGACCACCTCATCGCCAAATACTAGCTAAAATTGGAGAAATGTGGATCTTTTTGTTTTCCTGCATTTCTAGGAGCACTATTTGTACTATTTGCCTAAGCCAATCTTTCGAATCAAGTCCTGGAATCCAATTTGAGATGTAAAGAACGGAAAAGATTTGGTTTACAGCAAAATTTTAATAAAATTAAGAATCCCTTGATAGAATTAGGATATTTAAACAATTTGATCATTGTTGAACTTATTTGAGATCCGCTTTCCGGTTGGAAATCTGGAATCCCATTTCTGGAGATTGAGAGAGATGGGTGTGTCAACAGGCAGCATCTGTCCACCATTTCCCCTCCACTTCTCTCTTCCTCTTCACTTCGTGAAATGGATCGCCTTTCCCCTCCACTCATCGAAAGATAGTCAGCGAGATTGAGTGAGTCTCTTTCTCTTTTCATCGCTCATTTATAATTACTCTTCTTTCGATGATGAGAGTTAAGAATGATGGGGGGAATTTGGGAGAGATCTCTATCGATGTATTGTAATTGAGTGACGACGAGGCGTCAACACTTTCAATGTCACAAAGAATTTGTCGTTGAGTAACGAAAACATTGGTACTCGGTTGGGGATTCTTTAGAAGTATCTGTATATCATTTTTGAAGGGATAAATTGAATCCGGCACAGATGCTAGGTCTATCTGAAAGCTAGGGATCTCGAAAAGTTAAATCCCAACGTACAGCTATTAAGGAAAGGTCTATTCACCGAATTTCTACTAAAATTCCATGAAAATTGATATTTTGACTAGTTTCCGTTACAGTATCTTTTTCTATTTTCATGGAAAGTACCAATTTTCGATTGTACAGTGCTAATGAACAGGTGGGCTCAACCATATTTTTCACATTTTCTTCAAATTTTCATAATTATGTACTACCTAGGCGATTGTGTGAGGATAAGCTGTAAAAAGATGATCTCATAAAATTACTTGAGATTCCCCCAAGGAGACCAATCTGTTGCGAAAATAGATCTAGCTTCAATTGATCTTAAAAAAATAGATCTAGCCTCAATTCTTGTTCTTGCTACATTTCTGCTAACAAAACTATGTGTGTAGCGCAAAATTGGCTATAAAATGGGAAATTTTTGAGAGGAAAGTCGTCATAAAGTCGCCCACCCCTTACCGGCCCTTCAACGATAAATCGTTTGGGTAAAAACACATGTGGATGTTATGGTGGAGGTCAAAAAGGGAAAAGAGATCCCACGTCAACACCACCAACTCTTCCTTTGATATGCTCGACGACAAAGAAAGGATTGAATCTCTTTTCATAAGGCCACACATGCTCTCCGTCAAATCTTTCCTTTACTATGCATTGCCAGATGTTTCACGTTTTGGATTTTACGAGTGGAGTTTTCAAATCGCCTTACCTCATCACATTTTGCACACCGTGGCTTGAGCTGCTCAGCGTGATGACGACCACAAAAGACCTAAACAATGACATTTTTTGAAAGAATAGTTTTTCTTGTTTTTAAGTGCAAAATAGGAAATGATCGCTAACTGAATATCTTTACAGATAGCTGCTGATTTCATTTGTTTTGACCGTAAACCGTAACCATTTTTCAGCTTAGCATCGGTCTATGGAAAGTACTCTAAAGCTTTCTCTAAGCAAACAAAAGCAAACAATTTCTTGCTTTTAAGTTTTGTAATGGTCTAGGAAATGAGATTTCTTTAATTGTTTCCATTCAACTCCCCAAACCATCCTACAATTAATTTTAGCCTTCATTGTTGCCCGGCTACGAAAAATTCCTCCACTCGGCCCCCAAATGAAAATAGATTTCTTTCTCATTTCAAAGAGAAACGCAAAATTTATCGCGTAGAAAAATAATTTCAATAAATCTGACAAAAACAAATGATTTGAAAACAAAAAATAAACGACGACGCGGCACTCCTATCGACTACCTTCAAATGACGGCGACGTCAATTGGAATGCGACGTCGTGCATTAACATAAAATTTGCGACAGAGATTCAAATTTAACATGAAAACGTCTCGAAATCATCCTTTAAATGTCATTCTCGGGGGTGGGACAAATGCTACCTTTTTTTTTGCTGGAAAAGGCCTTAGGAAAGGTCGTAGAGCTTCGAAAATATTTCCATATAAGGGAATCGTATGCGTAGATTCCGAATTTCGACAAATCAGACCTCGCTGACACGTCAAATTTGGGCTAAAAGGCAAAACTACGCAACTAACGCTTTTCCGCGGTTTTTGCCTTTTAGCCCAAATTTGACGTGTCAGCGAGGTCTGATTTGTCGAAATTCTGAATCTACGCATACGATTCCCTTCTATGAAAACATTTTTGAAGCTCTACGACCTTTCCTAAGGCCTTTTCCAGCAAAAAAAAGGTGCGCAAATGTCCAGGTGCGCAAAAAAAGGTCGCATTTGTCCCACCCCCTCATTCTCTACTTTTAGGCTAGGGTTTAAGTTTGGAATCAAGTTTAAGCTAAAAAAAATCATTTATCGGATTCAAAGGTCAGCGAAACAAGTTTGATTTCAAAAATTACCGTATTCCCGTGCGTGAAATAGACCAAATCAACGAGAAGCGCCTGGCATTTGTGACAAGAGAAACACGCTGGATGAAACCATCTGAAATTGCTTTTAGATTTTTTGATTTAGAAAGCTTAGGTTTTGATTTGATAATATTAAGTAGATCACTAAAAAAAATATTAGCAAAACTGACCGATCAACTTTCTCGGCATACACGGCCACTTGTCCCTCTTCAAGTGGTGCATCATCGCACTGAAATTGATTAAATTGATTGTAAATTGATTGTAAATTGATTCAAATGAATCAAATCAATCAATTGATCAACTTTTTATTTAATTCTGGCTATTTCATTTGGTTATCGTTTAAAAAAAATCATTTAGTTATCGTTTTTTCAACTTTATAAAAGAAAAGAGAAAAGCAGCAACACTTCCCCGATGACTGCTTTAAAGATGCAAACAGCTACTTTATAAGCTCGTTTTTGAGGGTGCTGTAATAGCGTTGAAACGAAGAATCAATTATTGCTTTGCATTTAATCCAAACAATCCCAGATCTTGAAGTGCTTATGGTGAAAAGTGAAAACTTTAATGAAAACTTTAATGAAAACTCTCCCCTTCCCAAATCGAATTCCCAAATAGGATTCTTTTCGGCTTTTCTTTGATCAGCTTTTTGATCTCTTTGGTGTCAGAATATATCTATATGCAGATTCGAGTAATGGATTTAGAGAAGAGAGGGGTAGACCCTTTCATTTGGAGATGAACTACCGCCCTTTGACCTTTATCTCATCCGAGATCGGTTGTTGAAGAAAAAAAGTAATAGGATTTGCATAATCTCTTATTTCTAGGATTGATAGAAAAGTTCAGTGGGCTTGGTTTTAAAACTTGATAGGAAACGGTTTGAAGTTTGATTGCTGGATGTAGCTGGATTACTTAGATCAGTTTTTAGAAAGCTCAATCTAAAGAATAGTCGATTCTTTTCTTTCGATTCTTTCGATTCTTTAGATAAGCCACTTTTCAAAACGATTTCTACTTGGTTGCACTCTCTCAGCCTACAAAGAGGGTTTTCTATTGAAGAAAAATTTAGAGGAGATGGGTATATCTATACGCATTACTTCGGGGAGTTTCGTGATGTGTGCACAACCCTTTCCACCCGTTTTCTTTCTTTTTTCCTTTCCCTCCATAATCAGCGCTCATAAAACGTCCCGGCACACAGCTGGAGGTGGTCAGTTTAAAAGAAAAAGAAAAAGAAAAGAAAATGCAAGGATTTCTTCCTAAAAACTCGTCGAGAATACAACAAAGCGCTGCCGAGTGATGGATGAAATGCAAATGAGTCGATTGTATAAGAAGAATGTGCTCGTTTTTTTTGTTCGTTTTGTTGTTGTCTTGTTAATTTCAGTTGAATTGATTAAGCTGAACTGATAAACAGTCTAGATTTTGTGTAAATTGATTGATTGATTTGACAAACTTCGTAAACATCAATCTCTTTAATAAAAAGTGGATAATTTGAGAAACTCTATCGTACTCTTTTTCCTTAAGATATTGGCTATTCTGCTTATTTTTTTTAAATAATTTTGATTCCAATTGAGCCACAGTTTAGTTTAAATTAGATCTTTATTAAATCAAAAGCTGAAAGAGAGATTACGATAAGTTTCCAACTTATTAGCCAACTAGACTAGCCACTTTTTAGTGAAAGTTACCGTAAATACTGTAATAGTACCCCACCCCTCGTACAGTCGCGTAGTCGCAAAAGTTTTTTAGTATTTCGTTTTTTTCAAAGCGCCCGTACTTTCAAAAAATGCGTGTTTGGTATCAAAAAATAGCTGAAATTCAGGGCTATTTTTTGATACCTAAGCGAGCATTGTAGCATAAACCAGTGTCGAGAAAAACTCGTTCAAAGCTAGACTACGCAACACTTCGCACCGTCATTATGGGGGTGGGGTACTATTACAGTATTTACGGTAAGCATCTTTTAGAAAACGGCATCTAACTGTAGTTCGATGGACTCGAATTGTTTCTTTTAGTCATCAAACGATCGACGATCGACCGTTCATTCACGAGAAGCGAAGCCGTTTCCCACGACTGTCACAGACACAACAACCAGAAAAGATCCCCACATTTTTGGCAGACGGCAAAAAGGAGTGCAAAAGAGTGATCGAGGATTGGAAAGGATTGAAAAGGATTCCCGCATGCGCCATCGCTTCTATTCCTTTTTCATCTCTCTTTTCAACGACTGTGAACATTTTTGCCACAAAGAAAGACCATCTGTGCTCATCAAATTCGAGCGTGAGAAGGAAAGCTTTGCAAAAGAAATATTTCGTTTTTTTTCAAGCTCTGGGTTGGTACTTGGCTTAAAATTAATTCTAATTCACAGAATTAACGCCAAAGTTCACAAAGGATGAGCTCTTTGGCTCATCTTCGATATAGTAACCCGTGACATTACCGTCATTTCATTCATTACAGTAACATTACAGTTCTATCATCACAGTAAATCAGAAAATCTTAGTTCAATTTGCTGGTCCAAACTTTTCCCTGATTGAAGGGATCTGTGGTAACCCGGAAAGTCCTATAAAGTACTCGAATTTTCAGCTACTCAAACCTTTAAGGTTTGAAGTGATCTGTGAAAAAGCCGAATAGCAAATAGCTCTTTCAAATAGCTCTTTCAATTTTCCAATCTATTCAAAGGCGATGGTGTGCATGATCGAGTGATCTGATTGATCCCCATGAAACTCTTGAAGGAAAATAGAGGGGAGTGATGGAGGAGAGAGTCCCACCAAATACACAAACCATTTTCCCTGCTTATTATTTGTTTGCACAGGCGGCGAGGCGGCTCAATGACCGAAAGGGAGAGACTCAATCAGAGAGTCTTAACAGGAGGGAAATCTCTGATCTGGAGAAGAGAGAGAGAGTGACTCTGACCCGATAATCCCATCTATGTAGACATCTCCCCCTCTCTTTTACTTATAAACCTTTACCCTTACGAATTACACGCTTTGTGACAAATATTCGACAGATTTTGGAGAGAAATCTATTTCGGAGAAAGCTGTTGATAGATTTGATTGATTGGAACAATTGAATTTGATTGGCTGACTGGTAGATAGCTTCTAAATAAAGCTAAATCTCAGCTATCTGTCAGCTCTAGTTCAACTCTTTCTAAAGACAATGTGTCGATTGTTTTCGCGCACACCCCAACCATTGCCAAATCGAGAAATCACAAGGGTAACCATTTGGAAAAGAGAAAACGGCCAAGGGGTGTCGATTTTCCGTCGATCACCACCCCTTTCCCCTTCCATGATGGGGAATGACATGAGACACGAACCCCTTCACTGTCCCTGTCCCCCTCCAACAGCCAGCAGTGATTATTCATTGGTGTCCCTTTTTCTCCCCGTTTCTCTTTCACCCTTTTCCCTTCAGAGACACTGTATAATTTACGCGAACGGCCGAGCGGGGGAGAGTCTCTCAGGGCAGATGGTGGACAACGATATTTGCACCCTCTCTCCTTATAGGGTCCGAAAGAAAAATAGCGACAAAATCTTGTAAAATTTGATTTCAGACTTTTTAAGCCAAATGACTTCGAGTTTGGATACTGATTTAGATCTAAAGAGGGCCTAAAGAAGATCTAAAGAAGATCTAAAGAAGGTCTAAAGAAGGTCTAAAAAGATCTAAAGAAGATCTAAAGAAGATCAATCGGGGAATTAAAGAAGTTTACCGAGGCTTCAAATGGAGCCATTGGCAGCCACTGTATTGATAACTCGTCTAATTGTTACCTTTGTCTAATAGTTTTGTCTGTCTGCCTTACCGGTTAAGAAATTCATTACCAAACGGTTTGCAAGGAATTTTGCCGAAGCTTATCCAGCTAGTAAAAGTTTTTATTCAATTCCTCCGGTCAGTTTAATCAAAGTAAATCCATTCAGAACTGAAAGCAGACTGATCCCAGGTGCTATAAATTCGATTATTAACTTCTGCTCAAAAGTCCTACGGATGTTACGCAACGGTGCACCGGTGAGCTCACAAGGAATGGCTTTGATGAGCGTCAAGAGCCCAATCTAGCCCCACTTTTGGTCGAATGAAGTGGCCCCCTGCCGGGTTTTCTGTCTATTACATTAAAAGAGGAAAAACGAATGGTTCTTCTCAACAAGTGCAATCCACTTGATCACAAAGGGAACAAAAAGCCGACCATTCAAGCAAGCAATGTCTTTAAATGGACAAAGGTCCGGATTAGGTTCGATAAATTAGATAAACTGACAAAAGAATAATAGGTACAAGATTTGACGGTTGATCTAAAGCGTACGGATTTGAGTATTCGATCGGATCACTAAGCATATCAATTTGACTAGTGAATAGATTTCAATCAGCGCCAAATCAAGCCAATATTTTCTTATCAACTTACTTCTGTCCTATCATTCAAAGTTTTCCCATTTCTTTATAATCACCAAAGAGGTGTTGAATTGAATAAAGAAAAGAGAAAGAGGGAAAAGCTTTATTTCTTTTCTCTTTTTTTTTCTTTTTCGGAACCCCTTTGAGCTCAAGGTCTCGATTTGCATACAGAAAAGGATCAAAAGAGAAAGAAGAGATTGTTTAGACTTGAAATAAACAGTTTTGTGATGAATGAATGAATGAATGAAATGGAAAAGGACAAAAGATCACGTGAAGCCATCACAGTTGTTTAGTGGAGAAAAATGGACTCACCCCTGCACAGCGTTTCCTCGATCCATCGTACGGCGTTCGCTCGACACGACCACGTCCTGGAAAGGTTTTTGATAACTTTATCAGCGCTATGATTACAGCTAAAAGTAAAGAACTATTTTAGGTATTGAAAGCTATTGGCTTTAAAGGTTAGAAGAAACGAAGGGCAGTAAGAAGACACAAGTTCTCTTAATCACTTAGTGCTTTCATAGTACAACCATTTTTAGGTTTAGGCTTAGGCTCAAGCTCAAGCTTAGGCTTAGGCTTAGGCTTAGGCTTATTAGGCTTAGGCTTAGGCATAGGCTCAAGCTTAGGCTTAGGCTTAGGCTTTGGCTTAGGCTTTAAAAGTTAGAACTTAAAGTATTATCTCTAGAAGTTTGCTTTAAAAGTTAGAAGAAACGATAGGAGATCTAGATAAAAAAAATACTACAAGTTCTCTTAGTCACTTAGTGCTTTTATAGTACAAACATTTTTATACAGTTATTCAAAATTTCCTTCAACTTACCCAACGCCCTTCTTTTCCTCGCTTCATCAAACCCTTTCAATTCCTTTTCTTCACTTCTTGTCAACGGCCCGCAACAAAGAGGATCTGAATCCTGTGGCGGGAGTTGGCTTCTGAAAATCATAAAGTATTATCTCTAACACTTTCCCTTACCTCAATTGCCTTTCTCTCCATTTCTCTCCAACAGAATTTGTATAGGGAACCTTGTCCTCGGGAAGACACGCAAAATAAAGATGAACCTGCAATTATTTCATTTATTTGCATTTTCCCAAAAGTTCGACTAAAGAACGAATCTCAGAGAGCGTTCAAAACTTTCGAAAAGTTTTTGGAAAGTCAGACTTGCGTTTGAAATTCGAGAAACGACTTTCCCATGACCTCCGAAAGTGCAATCATTTGGGGGAAAGTTCAGAGGCATTTCAATTCTCTTTAAGGCGTTAGTTTTTTTTTTGCAAGTTTCGACTAGACTCAAGCTCTCATTTTTGAGACATTGTTTTTATGGTTGTAAATCAATTGGATTACGGTTGGGTGAGCTTAGGTGTGTGAAGCTTTATGCAAATGATCAAATCAAATATGTCTAGCCAAACCATATGTGGCGTCAATTTTGGCGGAGTCCAGGCGAACTCGTCAAGAACGCATCCTGAATCAGAGTCGCTCGCTGAATCGCCCATAATTCCACGAGGCCAGGCACTGCCGCCTAAAGAATTCTTCTAGAAATAGGACAAAATTCTAGATCAAGACTGAAAGAATTCCAGATCAAGACTGAGGACTCAAGATCTCTAGATCTCTAGATCTCTAGAAAAAGATCAATGACATATTCTCATATCAAAACAAACCCGGCTCTCTGGCGGTTACTCCAACAGGCATTCGTCTCTTTGATGACATAAAATGCTAAAAGTATTGAATTGAAAAGTGGAAAGACGGGGAACAATGCCATAGAAGAGTTTACAAGGTTTACAATAATCAATCTTCAGAGAGATAGATGTACAAAGCTGGAGGATTATCTCCTAAAAAAAAGAGGGGTGATGACCCGTCAAGATAAGAAAGGAAAGTAAAAAAAAGAGAAGATTTGGTGACGAGAAGAATATATGGACTGACCCTGGAGGGACTGGGGACAGCCTGCTGCTCTCCGCCGAAGCTCCGCCCCTCTCCTTTCTTTCTCTCCCATCATTCCCAATTCCCTTAAATAATGCATAATGAATCTCTAAAATGAATCTAAATGAATCCATTTCCCATCTATAAATTAGCGATTAAGAGATTTTTGGAGGGATTGAGTTCCGTGAATCTTTTTCTGGGGCTTGTTAGCCGTTCGCTTGTTAGCTTCAGCTTGTTAGCTTCAGCTTGTTAGCCGTTCGCTTGTTAGCTTCAGCTTGTTAGCCGTAGATTTCGAGTAACATATTCCAAACAATTTCGGTATTGAAATCTAGATTGAAAGCGTAATTTGTATTTGAATAACGATAGTGCTAAAATCGACTAGCAATTAGTGAAAAATAGTCTCTAGTAGTAGTAAAAGTAGTAGGTGATTGCCAAAAAAAAAACACAACCCGAGGGCTCACTCAAAAAGACATTTTTACTGACAATTATCATAGGGAAATGGAGAGATCGAGATTTGCGGGTTGACAAGTGAAATTTGTAGCCTTCAGGCATCCCGATCAATCCTATCGTTTCATTTGGACTCATTCCAGCACTAATTTGCATTTCTTTTACCCTTTTAAGGGAGAAAAGAGATCGTAAAAGAGATTTTCCATGAATAGAATCCGATTTTTTTTTTTTGAGTGTGTTTTCGATTTGACGAAAACAAAGACATTATAAAGTAAGGTCAGCCGAAAAGAAAGAAAGAAATGGTTGAGGAAAGAAATGGAGCACGTTTTATCAACAGTTTTTTAAAAGTTCTATTCGAGGAAAGATAGCTAGATAGCTGGAAAGGTTGCTAGATAGCTGGGTTTTGCTAATTCGTAAAATTATCGGAACTGCTCAAAGATGATGGTGACTGATTGACTGTGAAAAATGACAACACTCTAACGAAAGTCGATCAATTTAGAATTTGTTTTTTTTTTGTCCACTTTTCATTTTCATTGTCTCCCGATCTTCATTTGGATTCGAGAGACTTCGAAATCAAATTTAATACTGCCAAAACTTTTCTTTTACGTTTATTTCAAGGCTAACGCTGAAGAGGCTTGATCAGCTGGGTTTGGAAAAAGATTTATGCAAAACCTAGGAATTACTGAGGAGAGAAACCCAGCTGTGTTCTTTTTACTTAAAATAATTCAAAGAAGAATGCTCGGAGAGGCTTTGGTCTGTATCCAGTTTACATTTAACTATTAGAGGTTCGATTTCAAAATTTATATTCTTCAAATGCACAAAATAACTTCAAAAGTTTAGCTTAACTTAAATGAAATGATAAAAAAAGCTTTGAATTTACAAAAATTATCATAATCAAAAGAGAAATGAAGAGAATCAAAAGAGAGAAATATCCACGAATTCGATTGAACCACACACCCAACAAGAATTCATCTACGCGATGACTTTTCCCTGAGGACCCATTTTTCTGAACCTCTTCCCCGAAAATGGGTGAGATCTCTCTCGGGATTTCTCTTTATTTCTTTTTCCTTTTCTCATCTTGTTAAACTCTCAAAAAGGTCAACTGCTGGCTAAACATTTTTGCATGCAAAATTTTTGACAAAATTCTCCCTTGAGAGGAATTGAGAAATGAAAAGTACGAAAGGTTTTCGTCACTTTATACAATTCTGTATACATTTAGAAAATAAAATGGTTAAAAGTAATGGTTATAATTGATTTCAATAGAAAAACTGATCTGAAAAACTGATAAAGAGATCTAGATCTAGAGCTAGAGATCTAGATTTAGAGCTAGAGGTCTAGATCTAGAGCTAGAGCTAGAGATCTAGATCTAGAGCTAGAGGTCTAGATTTAGAGCTAGAGATCTAGATCTAGAGCTAGAGATCTAGATTTAGAGCTAGAGATCTAGAGCTAGAGCTAGAGCTAGAGATCTAGAGCTAGAGCTAGAGCTAGAGATCTAGAGCAGGCTAGGGGACTAGAGCAGAGCAGGCGGACTAGAGCGGCAGAGCAGAGATCTAGGCTGAGCTGAGCTAGAGATCTAGATCTAGAGCTAGAAATCTAGAGCTAGAGATCTAGATTTAAATCTAAAGATAATCTAAAAATAATCTAAAGATAATCTTCAAGAAATTCTTCAAGAAATTCGAACAAAATGTAAAACGTAAACGCTTTCAAAAGGTATTTGGCGGGGTCCAACTACTAATCCATATGAATGACTCTGAAAGGAAAAGCAAAGGTAGAAAAGGGAAATGAGAAGAAGGGGAATTGAAACTTAGGAAGCTTATCTCTGAAAAGAATCTCGAAGGAACGCTTGCCTGAGAACAAGCCAACAAGCCAGCAATCCCCCCGTCTCCCCCCTAGGGGAAGCTTTCCCTTCCCCGCCCATCGCGCATCTTTATGGCCTATTACGCAATCATGCACCACCCACAACTAACCACAATGTCCCCTCCATCACAAATTTGATGTCCTCTATTTGTCATTTCTTCGAAATGTGATCAGATATCGCTTCCCCTAGTGCGTGCTCAACCAGCGCCATTTTCAGCTGCCAAGTTGTTATACATTAACAAGTCCAAAAATTTATTAAACAAACGTAAAATGTTGTCTTCTCAAGATGAAAGTGATTCCATTCCTTTGAGCTTCCACGCAAATGTTGCCCTGAATAATCGATTTTTGAAAAGTATCTGCAATGAAAGTATTTGAAAAGTATCAAAAAAATTCAAAAATGAAAAGTGCCTTAAATTCATTCTATTTTTCTTTTTTCCCTTTGTTTTAATTAAAGGTAAATTCTTTAAATGTTTATTTATTAATTATTGTTTATTATATAGATACAAGATACAAGGAAACGATAGATACAAGCCAAATTATAATACGACTCAAAACAAAAGAGACTCTCATTGAGATTTATTCATGAAACGATACGTCAAAAGCTCGCAAAATGCTCCCATTGAAGTAAAACTATTTGTCATACAATAAATTTTAATTTTAAATAATTGCGGTTAAAATTAGAAATCCAGGCCAAAATCCGAAACATCAGAGCACTCGGTAAACGGAAAGAGATCAAGATTTCCTGCTGAACTCGACCATGCTACAATGTGAACAATTACAAGATCAAAATTTAAACTTTGAAAACCTTCAAATCCACCGTATTCAAGAGTTTCACCAGGTAGAATCGGATAAAAGTTCATCGTGTGGTCAGAGGTCTAAACGATTTCATTGAGTTTTTAACTAGGCTTATCGGCTATTCACAGAGCCTTATAGAGCGATATCTTATCGAGTGAAGAAATCCAAGTTTCAATCTCAATCAATTGTTCACCTCTGAAATCCCAAATGCAGAAAAGCTTAGCTTTATAATGTAACCTCTAATGGGGGAGTGGTTGGTCGAGCGGGCAATGTGCTGGCATCATCCGTTAAATTTGATGTCACCAATTGTGCCATCATTCCAACACCACTCACAATGCCGGCGCCAATCTGAAAATTTTTTACTACAAACCTTGATTTTGCATTCTTTTTTGTTGTTAGTGTTAGTGTTAAACGATATTTTTAAAGATAAGATTGTATTCCTCGGAATTGACATTCGGTTTTTCCAGTAAAACAATGAATGGCAAAGAATTTGAAGCCAAGCGGGAATTGAACCCTCGCTCTTCTGCTTATTGGGTAAATGCTCTACCACTGAGCTATTAGCTCTTTGCCGAAGAAAAAATAGGAAACGCCAGGAGGAAAGAGAGGGAAATAACCGGATCTAATTTAATTCTTACCATTATAGGTTCAATCGTTTTTTAAATCTCTACTTCTCAAAAATAGGTACAGTACTTTGTAGAATCGAATATCATCCAGAGAACTTGATCCTCAGCAGCGCCTCTTTCCTTGATCATAATCAATTTGCCTTTCTTTGCGTGAAACACAATCTTTGGTGGTATTTTAGCTAAACAAGTTTTTTCTAATAAAAAAACATTTTACATTTACTTTCCTGATGACACAATTCCTCTGATCGATAGATTTCCGCATCTTGCAAGCTGATGGGTTTCCAACAAGGATTTGCGATCGGCACTTCCTAAAAAATAGATTTTAAAGAGTTTTTAAAAAACAACTTACAAAAAAGCTTTGTATTTGGAGTTTTTTTGGAAACAATTTTGCTTGATGCGTGTGAACGGTTGGATTCGTGGAGAGAGAGTTTGCGTCGAACACTTGCACTTTTCCCTCTTTCAAAGGATTCATCTTTCTGCTTAAAAAGCTTTAATAACTCTAATGGGAATACAACTTTACATAAATAGACTCAATTGGAAATCTTCGACAGTCAACTCTTGATTTAACGATTCTAAAAAGTGCCCCAAATTTCTTGCGTAGCTGTCCTAAACGGTTAACGATTGCGTTTGAGTGGGCAGCTACGCAGAAGCTGTTTGAAGCTACGCAGAAAGCAAGGGCATGTTTTAGAATTTCAAAATCGTGGTATCTGTAGCTTATCTGTAGCTACTCAACTTGAGTTTTGCTATTTAAAAGATGCTGGCTGTTGCTTGAAAGCTAGCAAGATCACGAACTTATAATCAAGGGTATAAAATACAAATAACAAGAAGCAAATAAAAACAAAACTTAAAAACTCGACTACCGATTTAACAAGAACCATTTCATGCGGATTATTCATCACATCCACATTTGAGTCGGTATATCTAGCAAGCCAGCAAGCGCTTTTGTGGATGGCCTTGAAGAAGTTCGAAAAGTTTTCCCGTTTCGCTTTTTCTTGCACAAGATATTGCTAACTATATTTCCTGATCATCGTTGTCAATCTTTGCTTTTCTTTTAGATCATTTCCATTC